TGCAAACGTGTTTCCATCCAAGAGAGGCAATCCCAGGAGAGGGCTCTGTCAAGACCTGATCAGAGAATCATCGGTTCACCTGCAGCCATCCTGTAGGCAAGAGCCTCAAAGGGGCTTTTGATCCAGCAAGGAAAGTACACTGCAACATACGCTGTTGTAAAATCTCACGGGCAGCAGCTAACTTGCGTCATGCAAGAATCTAATAAAGAATATGTTCCCCCTGCCTTGCCTCCCACCCACCCCCCGCCAAAGCCCAGATCTCCGCTGCTAATGCGACAGACATCGTGGAGTCCCATCAAGGAAGGAACAGAAGGAGAAATGCAGGCTGACTTGTGAAGTGGTCCCCGTTTCCTTGAGGAGAAATGAGTTGACACCTAACTAATGCAGTTGCCATTGGAGAGACCTGCCTGAGAGCTTACAGCTTGGGGTTCTATTCCGGGAGGAGTAGGCCTGTTTCAAGAGGCTATTAGGCGATCGATGGGCAAGATAGACCATAATAGCTCATTCAGGTCCTGCTGACCTCAACCGTTCTAATTAGCATTCTTTGGCTTCTGCGTGGCATAGAGCTGAGGGGCGACATGTAAACTTTAAGACAGCCCGGAGAAGTAATTTGGCAAGTGCTTCTGATGACGTTAGCTCCCTGGGTACGGGTTACGCTACTCATCAAAGACTGATCAGTGCAACCTATCCATCAAGAACTAATTGGGTCCCTCCCCACCATTCCCTGCAGCTCTTTCTTTGCTTCATCAGTATTCTGCTAAATAAGATGAAGGGCTAGTTTTACTTTGGGAAAAAGAATCCCACAGGTTAAACAGCAGCAAGCTTCTCTGTTTCTGGGGACTCCAGAAGGAAAAAGTGTTGAAAGTGCTGTGGAGGGGTATATCTCTGTTGTGTGTAGAGATGTGCAGGCCTGGAGGGGCGGAATCAAAGTCCCCCCATCCATCCCTGAGGACTTTTTTTGCTAAATTTATTTGCAGTGGGGGGGGGGGGAAGTCAGAGATTTTAGGACACTCTGAGAAAAAGGTCTAGAGAATATTGTCTCATTTGGAATGAGTAGAATTATTTGATAGACAAGGATTTACACATTAACATGTGCGCAAGACTGGATGTAAGACAACTGATAGCCTTCAAGAATTGCATAGTACAGACATACAGTATTTTCAATAACATGTTTATTGTTTAAATATGGCTAATTCTGTATAAATATGATACTACACTACTGAAGAGTCCGTTGATTTTAAGTTAACTTTCTTTTTTGTGTGTGGGTATTTGTGCATGTGTGTGTGTTTGCATGCCTGGAAGTCATGGTGACTTCTGGTGACTCCTAGTGGGATTTGGATGTTTCAGAGAGGTGGTTTGATAGCCTGCCCTGCGTCCCAAGCCCCGGTATTCCTTTGAGGTCTCCCCTCCAATTACTTGCCCTGCTTAGCTTCTGAGATCTGACGAGATCAGGCTTGCCTGAGCTACCCAGGTCAGGGCAATCTGAATTTAACTTTCAATTTGATTTCAATTTCACTTGACACCTAAGGAAGCTGTTAGTCCTGTAGTGGCTGTAGGAAGCTTTCTGTCCAAACAATACACAATGTCTTCTCTTTACTACAAAATTTGTGTTTTCTACTTTCAACTTTCCCTTTTTCCTACCTCTCAGATATTTGGCCTATGTGGGAGATCTTGGTTCAAACTCCTGCTTAGGACCGTATGACATATTACATTTTTAGGGCTGTTCTTAATATACAAATTTGACCAACACTAGCTTACAAACATGCACATCGTACAAGAACAGCCTTCTACTCATTGCTGCGGTTTGTTTTGTTGTACTCTCAATGGCAAACTTGAGCCTGATGCTGAATACCCTCAGAAATGGCCCTTGATGGTGTAGCTCACGGAGATGCCTATGGGCAAGTTGTTAAACCTCAAGGCTGTGGCAAGAATGAGGTAACCACTGTAATTGTATGAAGAAGGCTACCTACTAACCTTTCATGAAGAACGGGAAAGGAGAGCATTATAGGAAAAGTGGTTAACACTGGCTCTTAGCCACAAGCCTGAGCTTAGCAAGAAATTAAAGAATTATGAAAAACTTCCAAGACAAACTCTTGAATCTTTAAAAAAAAAAAAGAGGTGGAACACAGCAATCATATTGGTACTGTGCTATGACACAGCAGTGGATGTTTCTACACTCCCGTTCTACCAGAATTTATTTTGTATTCATTAGGCATAGGTCCATGGTCTACTCAAGGACCTGAAGAACACCGGGTGAAATCTGACAGGAGGACTGGTCTTACAGGAATACCTCTGGCAAAAAGAACTATTAGGTGTACCTGAAAGGAAGACTAGGGTTCCTTCCCCCCACACACACACACATGCCATGCAGAAAAGTAAGAGAATGACTTAAATTTACACACAAGTCAGTTACGTAAGAACATAAGACCATAAGAGACGCCAATATTGGATCAGGCCAAAGGCCCATCCCGTCCAACACTCTGTGTCACACAGTGGCCAGAAATACCAGTGCCATCAGGAGGTCCACCAGTGGGGCCAGGACATTAGAAGCCCTCCCACTGTTGACCCCCCCCCCAAGCACCAAGAAGACAGAGCATCATTTTTAAAACTGCATAACTTTTTTTAAGGGAACGTCTTCCTTTCAGGGTTGTCTTTCCTTCCAAGTTAAGTTCTGTGCAACACTGACCTACAGGGAATGTGAGAGGCATCACAGCTCTTTCACAGCCACATACTGTCTAGAGAACAGGAAATCTTTCTGAAAGAAAAGTAACTTGAGTTTCTAACGCATTCTTGTACCCTGATGCAGCACCGAGAACAATCCAAAGCACATGAAAAGAATCTACATCCATTAACTGAAATGCCATCACGCCTTCGCATTGCTAAAATGCCAGAAATATTAAAGCATCCTATTTATCTTCCAGACAGTTTACTGTCACTCTTCAGCCCCTGCTTCGGGAAATTGCTCTTAGTCATATATAAATACTGTGCTCCATTTCTGCTTGGATCGACCTTACAAAGCTGCAGTTAAGACCAACTTAGCTGAAACTTCCATTTCTGAATGTGATTCCTTGAAGAAAATGGGAAGTAGCCCCATCTCTATGCTTGGATGATGTTCCTTCTCTAACCACGTGGCAAAAGAACAGAACAGATCAAAAGAATAAAATGGCAGGGTGAAACCAGATATGTTGCTCCCCTGGATCTGGACTGCAAGGGCCAAGCTGCATGTAAGGCAGGAGATCTGTGATCTCCCAGGAGGTGGGCTGTGAGTGAGACCAGGGATGCACCACACAGTTACCATACCATACAGCTGGGTACCTGTACCAGGGCTATTTTGGGGCAGGAACGCACAGGAACGGAGTTCCGGCTGGCTCCCAAGTTGGCCACGCCCAGCAGGAACTCATTAGCATAATCGGCCACACCCAACAGCAGAAACTCATTAGGATTGGCTACATTGGGGGTTTGTGGCCTAACATGCAAAGGAGTTCCTGCTACAGAAAAGCCCTGGGTTTTGGCAACAAACAAGGTAAACAGAATAAGAAGCAAAAGGTGGGTGTGGCTGGATAACCATACTTCTGGTAACATGGGGGTGCGGACTAATGCGCTAATGAGCTGTGCTGTCAGGGTGTGGCCTAATATGCTAATGAGTTTCTGCTGTAGGGTGTGGCCCATTATGCTAATGAGTTCCTGCTGGGCTTTTTCTACAAAAAGAGCCCTGCCTGTAACAATTCCTTTCACAGGGCAGACAGCAACACAGGAGGTGGGTAGAGGGCACTTAAACCAGGGAACCAGTGTGGGAGGGGAGCTTCAACTCTCTCTTGCTCTCCGCACTGACTGGAGTCCAGACCATGCCTACTTCGCCACCACCGCCCTGTTCAAGGACGCATTTACCATTTAACAAACAAAGCACTTGGGACATCTCACCATGGATCCAAGAGCAGCAGCTGGAAGAGACAAGCCCATCCCTCCTCCCTGGCTCAGTACCAAGCAGACTCCGATAGTATGCTGCCTTTACAAAGAGCAGCTTATCCAAATACATAGATGGAGGAGGAGAGCAATGCAGGTTCTGAAAAGGCCTGGCCTCCGATGCTTCCACAGTACGAGAAGGAACAAAAGGGGAGGTCCCCGTTTAGAGCAGCTGCAAATCACCGCTTGCCTCCCACTGCTTCAAGCAAAACATCATGGGTTGTTTGTTTTTAAAGAAAGCACGGACATAGCTTTAGTTGCCGGGTACTCCCATCCCTGATTCCCATGTGTATCAAAAATCCTAAAGGCCAAGGAAGAGGTTTCTAGAAGTCCAGAGAAACCCCCAGTTTTCTGGGAAAAGTCCTGTTTTTTCTAAAGACACTACAGAGAGAGTTTTTTTTTCAGGAGGGTAGCCGTGTTGGTCTGCAGTAGAAGCGAAGAACTACGTTTAAGTCCACTGCCACCTCAAAGAACCACAAGATTTTCGGGGTATTAGCTTTCAAGAATTAAAGCTCTCTAGCAAAGAGAGTTTTGACTCTTGAAAGCTGATACCCTGAAGATCTTATTGGTCTCTAAGGAGCTACTGGACTCAAGTCTAGCTCTTCTCTTCTGTAGAGAGAGAGAGAGAGAGACAGAGAAAACACCAAGTAAGATCTCAGCTGCCATTTTGGGTTGCCTAAGCAACGCAAAACAACACTGAGACCCGCCAGCTCACATTGTGCTTTGGAAAACTGGACAACTGAATGACTCACCTGGCACACAACGCTTGGAAGAGAACACTCAAACCAGTTCGCAAATGCACAATTTAAGGGGAAGGTGGCAGTGGGGAAAGGAATGGGTATGTGTGTGAAATTTCCTTTGCAAGGCCTTATAGACCCATCTTGTATCTACATAAAATGGGTCTTGCTTTAAAGCACACTATATTATGTTAGAAGGTGCAGATCAGTTCAGGGGCCACAAAGTACAAGAGCAAATGGGTTTCAGACCACAATAAAATTCTCCTGCACAACAGGCACTCTGAGCTTTGACACACTCACCTCCCCTGAGTAACTGTACTTTCCTTTCAGGATCTGTCGGTACAAACGGGTCCGGTTGTCATCTTCGAAAGGCATAGTCCCACTTAGGAGGATGTAAGAGATCACGCCCAAGGCCCACATGTCTACCGAGTTGGTGTAAGGCTTTCTGACCAAGATTTCCGGAGCAATATACTCCGGCGTTCCACATGTGGTCTTCATTAGGCAGTCATCTCCCTTCTTCCGGGCGCTCGCCAGCCCAAAGTCCGTGATCATTATTTTAGAATCCATTCCTGGGTGATAGTACAGCAAGTTCTCTGGCTTTAAGTCCCTGTGTGTTATCCCCAATGTATGTAAATATTTAACCCCATCCAACACCATCTGCAGCACTCGGGTAGCATCTCTCTCTGTGAAGGAGCCTTTGGCAATGATCCGGTCAAACAGCTCCCCTCCAGTGGCCAGTTCCATCACCATGTAGACACGCTCCTGAGTCTCAAACACTTCAATGAGCTGGATGATGTTGGTGTGTCGCACACGACGCAACACGCACAGCTCGGACTCACACACTTCCCTCCCTTCCCGGTACTTGGTCTCTATCATCTTGATCGCGTACGGCTGCTTGGTGGCCTTGTGCTCCACCCGCACCACACGGCTGAAGCTGCCTCGGCCAATCAGGGCCTTGATGTCGTACTTGGCCGTCACCCTGGGGTCAAATTTGGCACGGTATTTGGCCACTCTGTTCTTGCGGGGCTCCGGTTGCTCCAGGCGTGTGGGAGAGCAGCCACTGGCGTAAGGGTTGGTGTGGCGGGGAGGAGAAGGGAAGCCGGACTTGATGGCGTCACCCCCATCATCCTTGATGAAGTGCTTATAGATGTCATTTTTGTAACCGCAGTATGGCTCAACCTTTTTAACGAGATCCAAGTGGACATCCTTGGGGGGCTCAGGAAGTACCTTGCTAGTCCCACAGCCCATCACTGAATGGTGTTAATTATCCATCAAGACGTTCTCCCGGGGCAACACCACAGCAACATGTCTGGAACAGCTGCAGACGTCACAACATCCTAAGGAACTAGGGGAGAAAAGAAAAAAAAGAGCAATAAGTGTACCATATTTATTCAAGCAAATATCCCCTGCAAGGCACTCCACCTGCTTCCTACCTTGCTTATATAAATCACTTGGAAGCGACCTCTGTTGTAATTAATCACTGCACAACTGTACCTTAATTTATTACATAACCAAAAAAAACCCCATCTTGCCAGCAAACATGCACATAGGATGGAGCAGGAATTAAATTGCTAGCTAATCCAGAGGTGAGAAGGATTCAGCACTCACTTTTCTTGAGCATCTAAACAAGAAATATCAAGCCAACCTACAGAGCAGAAAACATGAGATGAATATTATTAGCTCCCTCCCGAAACTTTTTTTGCTTTATTTGGGAATGTAAAAACAGGGGTAGTTATTTTATACAAGTTCTGTAATCAGAAGATATTCAGTCTTCAGTCTTTACACATTTACTTGGAAGTAAACCCTGTGGAAGCTAATGGGATTTACTTTCACACTAACGCAGCTAGGATCAGACTGTTTGCCCAAGCAATCATATTTCAGTCGTACAAACTGGTTTGACATTTTCTTCTTTCCCAGCAGCAGGTGCCACCGTTGCAATGGAAAGATGGATGCTGAAAACTGTAGGAGTGCCGATTATGATACCAACACAGCTACGCACATGAGAGACATATAAAGTCCTATTGCAAGCCTCAGCACTTTTACAAGGCCTTATGAATTATTTTAAATTCCCAAGTGATACACCTAAGACATTTCCAGTTCATATTCTGAGTTATTCAATACTAGCCTCATGGCTCTAGACACTTGTAAAACTTGGTGCTTGAGCTACCCTCCCCCCCCCCAACTCACCTTTTTCAGGAAAACTCTGAATTCACTCCAGTTTAGGAAAATTACGGTCTCCCATTCATCTGCTGGGAAATGAAAGCAATTCTGTATACAATAACGTTGACAAGTCTGCATGGTTTTAAGGTTTTTGAAGACCAGCACAAAGTCCTTAGTGGAGAGTTTTAAAGGCTACCCTACACGCTGTGACAGCCTGTCAGAAGGTTTTTAAGTTTTTATGAATATAAGAGGTGGTCCTGGTGGATCAGATCAGTGGTCCATCTAGTCCAGCATGCTCTTTCACACCAAGGCCACCAGTAGCCCTGGATGGCAAAAAAACAGGGCATAGAGGTCTGGCATTCATAAGTTTGCTGCCTCCTGTATATGGCCGTTTCCTTTAGCCAACAAGACGAGTAGCCATTAAGGACCTCTCCTCCGCCAATCATTCTACATTCTTTTGATGCTTTGGTCTGGCATCAAACTCACACTGTCCAGCAGAGAACACTGGGCAGCAGATCTAACAGCTTCCCAAAGACCTCTTGACATCCTGCATTTCATCGTTCCTCAGATGAAAGTGAAGCTCAAGCAACTGTGTGGTACAGTGGTTAAAAAGTTTCACGGGGCCTGGAACATGTATGTAATGGCAAGAGTTACAAAGGGTCTTAATGATACCCATACTCTAATAACACAGTCCAACTTTGCTACAATATGGTTACCTATTTTACAATATTTGACACAACAAGAGGAAATACCCAAAATAATAGATTTGCTGCATCTCTGGTAAAAATATGTTTTGACATTCCTATGGTTTGTTAAATATGTTCTACTATATTAATATCGCTGTAAGAATTTGATTGTATTTTTACACTGATCTCATTGGAACTCGGACATACAATCATCTTTGGACTATGACATCACTGAGCACTTTGTTTGTATAGGATTTTAAGATGTACTATGTTTTTAAATTTATTATGTATATTATGTTTTTATTATGGCAAGGTTTTGCCTCACCTCTGTAATCCGCCCTGAGCCTATGCGGACGGCAGGGTATAAATGAATAATAAATAAATAAAATTTATATTTATGTAACTTTGCTTACCTGTTCTCTACTGTATGTTATACATTTATTAATAATAATAAACATTGTTGTTGGGGGGGGGAAGTTTCACAGGGCCTAGGGAGACCCAAGTTCAAATGCCTGTTGTCATGAAACTCACCTTAGGTCAGACTCTTTCTCTCAATCTAACCTACCTCACAGCATTTGGAGAATAAAGGGGGGGGGGAGAGAAACATGGACAATCCACTGCCCTACTACATTCTTGGACATAGGGAGGGATAAATAAATATGTACACACACATACTGCAAAAGAATCTTCTACATTCAGAACAAAATGGATTTTAAAGGCATTACTGGAAATTCAGCACTCAGGCTTTCAAGCAAACAAAAAGCTTAAGGAAGTCAGTGTTCAAAGGTTAACATTTAATCCCCCAAATCTCTTTAAAGACAAACCTCCTCTGCATGGGATTTGAATTATTCCCAAACTCAAGATCTAGAAAGGGACAATAAGTACAGGGGTATGACTGTCTTCTTCCCACATCCCTGGTTTCACTGATGGTTTGTTTTGTGTATTTATGGCAATTTAAAGTACCTGAGGTACATATCAGCCATTCAGAGCTAAGCATTCAAGGTACCCACAAAACAGTTTTAAGTGTGCTATTAGTCATATGGAGCATAAAGGAATTTTTAAAAACACTTTAACAAGCTTATTAGAAGTACGCCTCCAAGAGATAATAAGCACTTTCCCCCTATATGTCATAAATATCTAAGCTATTGGAAATGCACACAAAAATACTCCAAATCCTTAAGAAAAGCTTGCAAGAAAATGTAGCATCTTGGCTTTTCCTGCTTTTAGATCACTGGCATCTATTGCTGGGCCTAGATTTTACTCCTTTTAGGAATATATCCCATTCTCTACAGTGCAATCCTATGCATAGCTCTTCCAGTCTAAGCCCATTGATGGCAATAAGCTTAGACTGGAGTAACTCTACACAGGATGCTCTACTGTGGCCCCGGTCACACGGCAAAGTTGCCGCGGGAGAGGCACGGGAGTCCCGCGGATTTTCCGGGCGCAATCTCACCCCAACATCTGGGAAGCGCAGTGCTCCCGTGGCGAACCTGTGGCTCCTCGCCGAAGGTGAAACCGCGGGCCAAGGGCAGGCGTCTGATCGCATTCCTGGTGGACTTATGTGGCATCCGGCGCCCGCCACTGTTCGTCTCCGCAGGTTGCGCAATAGCGCCCAACAGCACATGCGCACAAAGAGCGATTGCTAGTGCGATTGAGCGGCGCAGCTTCTGTGCTGCACTGCAGGATACCCATCTGATCGGCATTTCCCCCGAACCACGGGACCTCGACCAGGACGTGTGCTCGGGCAGCCACGCGTTAGTTTCCTCTGGGGCAATTAGCCACGCCTCCCCCCCCCCGCGATATCCGGCCCGTGTGACCGGGGCATGTATTATGTAAAAGGATTTAAACACACTAACTCTTCTCAGGCTGCAATTTATCAATAGCATTACTTTTAAGTAAGTTTTTCTTTTTTTAAATAAGAGCTTGGGTTATTTTCTTCCATCCTACATAGGTCACAGGATATGGGAAAGAGGTTATGATCACCATTCCTGCCTAGAAGCTTTTGTAGAAGCTACCAGGCAAGTAAAATATTTCTCAGTATTAGCCTTGTCAGTAGTTATAAACATATGATTGGATGGCAACTAGGACTGTCAGGTCTTCATCTAGAAAGTGTATCTGTTCTTTTCTATACTGTTTTTCTCCTGACTCAGAGAGATGCAAGCTGTCAAAGGAAAACTATTAGACCTCTTTCCCCATAACCATTTTGGGATTCGCTTATTTTTTGTTGGTTTGATTCTGTTTTCTTTAAGCCTTAGGACGGGGCGCTGCTCTTTCTGTGGAAAAGCCAGGAGGAGTGGCAGAAGAACGACAAGGCTGACAAGAGGCCCCGGATCAGGCGAGGGGAAGGATCCGACGGCCAGGCCTTGTGCAAGTGGAAGAGACAGCAATGCAGGCCCCTCTGAGGCCAGCGATCTCAGGACTCCCCACAGCCGAGGCTGCGAGGAAGAGCGCAACACGGAGCCAGGCCGATCAACCCCACACTCACCTCAGCCTGTGGCCGGAAGGGCACCGAGTCCAGCTCCAGCCCAAGCCCAAACGGGGGTTCTAACCCGGCGCGCGCGTTATAACGTCATCAGTGTGCGCTCAGAAAAACACACCACATGGTGCGCAGCCTTTTCTCTCTCCCTCCACTGCGATTGGCAGAGGTGGCTTCGGGGCGGGCCTAACGCACGGGGGCGGGAGAAAGAGGTGGTGGTGGTTACTATGGAAACCCTAGAGGCTCGGCGCGGCCGTTCACTGGAGCTCGAGCGCGGAGCTGAGTTAGCGGCCGCTGAACTCCGGTCTTTGGGGGAAGAAAGGCGGTCGTTATTTCTGGCCCTTCCTTTCCCGTTCCTGCATTTCAGTTTTATTTCCCTACGGGCTGTGCTTACAAGCCACTTTTTAGCCGCAAGAAAGGCAGTTTACTTGTAAATAAATACATAAATAAAATGCACAGTGAAAATGAACACTAGTTTACGAGTTTTGGTTGTCTGCTATTTTATTTCGGTTTTACTGGGTGCAATTTTTCACTCTAATCTTCAGTTTTCATTGTTTTTACAGGCTTTTTAAATTTTATTTCTTGTTAATACAAACAGCACAACAATAGATTTATAAAAGCAATTGCATCAAGAATATCATGTCCGGGTTTACATCATACAGTTTTATCAAGTTGCTTTTCGAAAGGAAAGGAAAGGAGACTGGAAAGATGATCAGCGCTATCCCACAGTTATACCCTCCTGAACTCAGTGGGCTTAGATAGGTGTAACTGTTTAGTGTTATTGTACTACAAACGATGTCAGAGAGCACATTGTATCAACCGTTACATTCCTGGCACTGAGATCACATGTGTGAAATGAATGTGCTACATGCAATCCTCCCAATACACATAACAGCCATTTCTTCTGAAAAGGGTGGATTTTCAGCCTCAGTGCATGCATGTAGTATATAACATTTCCCAAGCACATAACTTG